GGCAGCTCCGAGATGTCTTACGGCACCCGGTTACCGGAGAGCCGTGGGAAATGCGGGGCCTGCCAGCAGCCGAGCCCGTCCCCGCAGCCATCCCGGGATCCTGGGGGCCAGGCTGAGCCCCAACGCACCGAGCTGCACCGAGCAGGGAAACGATGCTCAGCCGGGGCACGGGGCTCAGTCTGAGCCGCTCGTTCCCCCTCCTGCCAGAAAAGCAGCCCTGATCCTCCACCGGCACTGCCCCGGCAGGACCGTGCTGCTGTCCGGCGCTGGTCAAGAGCCACCCATAAGGAAACTATTACGGCTCGGCGCTCCGGCAGCTGGCTGGAATTTTTCCCCATAAACCCTGTCCCTCGACATGGAAAGAGGCCACTCATCGGCAGCGAGCCCGGCAGGAGCGACAGGCAGAGCCCTGGGACAAGCAGCAGCCCTGGCCCATGCCGGCCACGTACTGCCAGGGGTTGGGGACAGGCAACAGACTGCCCCCCTGGAACCCCAAGCAGTCGGCAGGCTGGGGAAGCCACTGCTCGCCCATCCTAAAGGGCTGGCTGTTAAAATTAACCCACCATGACCGGGTTTGGAAAGCCCTTCCCCGGGAATGACAGGAATGTCTTTATCCTGGCCAAAGCAGCCCCGGTGCATGGCTGTTCGAGGAACCCGCTGCCAGAGCCCGGCTCCACTGTAAACAGGCCAGGAGCCAGAAAATCTCCAGAAATTCCTCCAGCCCCCCTTTCCCCTGCATCAGGTGAGGGCCTGAAATGCGCTGGGGATGCAACAGTGACCCCCCAAACCCCAGCAGCCCAGCACGTGCTGGCGGTGACGGTCCCCCGGCACCGTGGGACAGGGCGAAGGCAGCGCCAGGAAAATGCCTGTCACCGCGCTGTGGTTTCGTGACCACGGCCTGGAAGAATTTCGGTGCTGGGTTTTTTTTCCTGCTGGGAAGAGGAGCAGGCAGAGAAGCCCTGCTTGCTGGCGAGCCAACGTGGCAGGACCGGGCCAGCCTGGGGCTCGGGGTCAAGCAGGATGCTCTACGCCATCCCCTGTCCTTGCTGGGTTTTTGGCTCCCCTGGGGGCTGGATCCATGAGGATGGGGAGCCCAGCTACCAGGAACGGCCTGCTCTGCATCGCTCATTTATTTTTCGTGGGGAATTTAACATAGGAACAAAGAATGGAGTCCGAGGCTGGGCGCAATGGGGTCTCCGCCACCCTCTGTGCTCCTGCTGCCGGCTGGGAGCTAAGGCTGCGCTGCTGTCCGTGCTGGGGGCTTGGGGAGGGCACGTGGGCGCAGGGAGGGGACCGAGCGCCACGCACAGGAGTGTGAGTCCCCAGGTGAGCTGCTGCCGGCGTGGCCTTGGAGCCAGAGGGTGGAAGCCGGGGTGGTGAGAGGTGGCTGGCAGCCCCGTGTGCTTGTTTTCCAGGGCAGGAGGCCAGGGGTTGCTCCCGTCTTCCTTTCCCCTCCGGTCTGGCTGGCAGGAGGCTGGGCGCTCAGCTGACAGTCACGGGGAAGGCATTAGCAAAGCAAAGGGGAGTTTCCTCGCCCTATTGCAGGAAGATGAAGTGCTTTCTCCTGGCCCTCTCCTCCTACAACCCTTCCCCATGTCCCTGCCATCACCCATGGGAGAAGCTGGGCACAGCCTGGGGGTCCCCCACCATCCACACACACAGTGGGGGGGAAAACCAGCCCCGCGCCGAGTGCTCGCCCATCTCCCTCTGCCCTTAAACCCACCACATCCTCCGGCGGCCAGCAACTGGTGTCCCTGTCCCCTGGTCCCTTGCCCCAGCAACCGTGCACACCCGCAGCTGCGGCGGGGATGCTCAGAGGACCACTCGCCGGTCCAACTGCTCTGCTCGCCCAGCTCGCTGGTGCCGCGCTTCCAGGTGCTTGTTTTGGACCTTCTCAAAGTGCTGCAGCAGCTCCGTGTAGTCGATGTTGGAGGCTGTTGTCCTCTTGAAGCTGGTGCTGGGTTTGGTGCTGTCCCTGCGGGGAGGGAGCAGAGCGTGAGGTGCAGGAAGGGGCAGGAGGTGCCCACACCCCGGCAATCCATCTATCCACCGAGGGTTTGTCCTGAAGAAGCTGAGCCCAAAACACCCTAGTAACGCCGGTGCCCCATTAAATGCCCCCCCCCCAGCCCTGTTTCCCTCCCCTAAAGGAATGAGATGGAGCCCAAGAAGGACAGCAGAGAGGACAAGGGACATCAGCCTCAACACCCTGACCCTGCAGGGAAGGTTTAACCCCTCCAACATGGATGTTCCCCGCCCTATCCCAACCCTTTCTGGCCAAAAGCAGCGAGACTGGATGGAAGGGATGCTGGTGCCGTGTGCCTCAGTTTCCCTCCTGGTTTCAGGAATGAGTGAAAAATATCTGTGTGCTTTGTCACGGAGGAGGACGGGTGGCAGCAGGGACAGCCCCGGGGGAT